AGTGTTTTTATCAGCTGATGCTCTAAAATGTTCAGAGCTGAAGCTCCGCCCACGTGGTTGCTTAGTTACACATACACAAGTACATGATTGGACCTTAAATACAATCAGACATGACAGCACAGCTCTAACTGGCAAATCTCAGAACAACAAACAATAGGATCCACCTCCACCTGGGGGACTGAGACAAAGAGGAGGAGTTTCTGTCAGAGCAGCAGAATGAACTTATTCCCTGGAATAGTAAAAGTCTGTATTTTGAGACTCTGAGTCTAACTGTGATTCAGTTATGAGAGTGTCCTTGTCACATTTGCATCTTGAAGCAATCGTGATGTAAATTAACAGTTATAATTAATTTTTATGAGAAAAGTGACAGAGTTGTGCTGAGTAAATCACAGTATGACAGAAGCAGCATAATCTCCTCTGCAGATTCCATCATCTTTAAAGTTTACTGTTCACTTATATAAAGGAGAGCGGGGGTGTAATACCTGTATATTGTTACTGTACAAATACAAAATGACCACAGCAGGGCCCCAAACCCAGTCTGAATAAACTAGTCCTCCTGTGTGTTATCTGGTTACTCACCTTTCTCTCCCATTTTAAGCTCCACTGGTTTTAACAGAAGATTCAGATGTTTGATCGTTTATGTTTAAAACATGTTTAAGACACATAAATGTGTCGTGTCTTCTATTCAGTTGTACAGCACTGACCTCTGACTTTCAGCTCCACCTTTCTCTTCATCAGGATGTTTCCCTCCCTGCTGTAGACGGTGCAGGTGTAGGTGTCTGTGTCCCAGTCTGTGGGCTGTTTCAGGGTCAGACTGAGGTCTCCAGTTTTCAGCAGGTCTTCATTCATCTTCGTTCGGTCTCTGTAAGCCTGGTGCTGTTCTTCAGGCTGGTCAGAGCCGTTCTTATACACGTGGACCTTCCTGTTGTATCTCTTCTCCATCCACTCCACTTTAGCGTCTTCAGGCAGGTGAAGTGTGGTGTTGAAGGGCAGCTGGACAGACTCCACCCCTGAATCCACCTCCACCTGAGGGACTGAGAGGACAACAAAGCACAACATGAGCTGTTCAAATATTCAATGTCAAAGTAGAATCACATCAACCAGAGGTAAAAGCTGAATCAGCTGCAACATATTGCTTCCATCTCTCTCCTCCCTGGATGCTTCTCTCTGTCTCTTTCATTCTTTCAAGACACACATATAGTCTGCCTGATACACATACACAGTAGACTTGTTTTGCTCGAAACTGACTGCAAAGTTGTTTACCTGCATACGTGACAGTGAAGCGCAGAAAGTGGAATAACAGGAAGCATCTGGCGGGTGGCGGAGGAACAGAGGAAGGAACTGTTCTTTTTTAGAATATGTCCTAGGAGGAATTACTGAAATTGATGCATGTTTTTTATCTGCTTGGACGCACAAGGGGCGTTATATTTCCTGATACCCTGATGCTATATATATGACACCCCATTTATTGTTCGGAGAAGATCGATGCTGTTTGAGTGATCGTGCTCGGCTTCCCACATATATGTGGGAAGCTATTGACAGAAACAATAAGATCTGTAGTGGCAACCCCTTCATCACAGGCATGGAACTAACGTCAATGGCAAGCATAGCAGCAGCCAATATGACAGGATTTGAAGCTGCATGGCATCTCACCCCGCCACCTTCAACTCACACCAACCCTTTCTTAACCCCAGTAGCAAAGCAGAATGCAGTGTGTAGCGAGTTTAAGCAGTTTCAGTACTCAGATTGTGAAGGCCCTGGAAATATTACATCTACACCACTTACAGTGGGACAGCATGGCACACATGATCACCTTTCTTGGATTATTACATCCCCCTCATGCAGCCAGCCATTCACCGCCATGAACTGTACCTGCAATGTCCCTATAAAACCACAGTTTACTGAGCCAGAGAAGCTACATATTATGCCAGGTACACCCCAACCTGCCCAATTCAGCTATGAAATGCCAGCTCAGGGCTACTTTTTCCCGACACCTCGCATGGTAACACCACCACCAGCAGGGGTGTGTGGGCTTTGTAAGCATGGCCATGGCCACAGTTCAAAACAAGCCATGCCAGGGCCACCAGCACTTGGAGAAGCATCAAGTGCTGGTGGTTCACACAGTTGTGCAGCCTCGCAAACCCTCTAGCATCCCGATCAGAGTCTTTAACCCTTGGGCTACAGCTGTTACCGCAGTGGCTGGGGTTCTTCAGCCTGTGCAAGTCCTGGAGAGGTCGGGGAATCACCCACCAAGGGTCTTGGCAATCCTCGAGATTGATAGCACTGCCCCTGCTTCTGTGCCAAACCATTGGCAGACCCTGTATGCTGAGAGCAGCCCCGGTTTCACACACGTTTCCCATTGCGGACTGACAGGCCTGCTGAGGTCCTATAGTGATGTCTTCTCCACTGGCCCAAATGACCTTGGTTGCATCAGTGTCGTCCAGCATGACATCTTGACCATGCCAGGGCCACCAGTTAAAGCACTCGCCATGCAGGATGGCAGGAGACAAACAAATAGTGGCCGACCAGCAAGTACAGCAGAGCCTGGAGGCTGGGTCAGCTCAGCCTAGCAATAGCAGCTGGGCTGTTCCAATTGTGATGGTGAAAAAGAAAGATCAGAGTCCCCGACTGTGTGTGGACTATAGACCACTAAATGAGTGAACTCTTAAAGACGCTTAACCCCTGCCACGCATCCAGGATACCCTTGACACGCTTTCTACTGCCAAGTACTTCAGTACACTAGACCTGACATCAGGATACTGGCAGGTAGAGATCCGATAAGATAAGATAAGATAAGATAAGATAAGATAAGATAAGATAAGATAAGATAAGATAAGATAAGATAATGTAAAGAGATGTACTCTAAAACACTTCTTCAGTTGAGAATCAGAGAAGAGAAATACGCAGAATTTCTTGCTAGCAAGGGCAGCCTCCAGAACTGAGACTCGCCCTGAGGACTGCCCTGGTCCTTTATTTATATGCTCCAGTGAGCGTTTGTTCCATACATTGAAATGTGGAGGTGTACGTGTGTGTGTGTGTGTGTGTGTGTGTGTGTGTGTCCATAAATGACTTCCCTAAACCCTAAACCAAAAGGCACTTAGACTAAGACAGATATAGCTACGTTAATCCTACCGTAAAACAATAAGACAAGGTACGACCTCTCCCATACTCCTAGGATGTGGGGGTGAACGCCAGAACACCCTGGAATGTTACAGACCTCCTAGGATGAGACATTCTTTCAATATGCCACCAACTATATACTTCTAAACACAAATGATTACATGCAGTATTCTACCATATGCAAACTTATATCATTAAAAGATTATACTGACTACTAAGTACAATTTTCCATTGACATTCCCTCCTGTTGTCAGTATAACTTTTAAGTGAGATATCAGTATGTAACATCTTGTTGTACATTTTCTGTCACATCGTCATTAATCACACAAAGTCTTCATGTTACAACAGGTCGGAGTCATTATCATCACTTGCCACGGCTGTATATGCAGCAACAGTAGTGTTAGAGATTTTCTACTTTATACAATAAAACCAAATCTCTATATCATAATATAATCAAGTAAGCCTTATATACTAACCAAGTAAGCCTTATATTCTAACCAAGTATGTCTTATATTCTGTGTGTTCATATATTTTCACACGGGAAAGCTTATTGTTAAAGAGAACATAATGCATTCCTTACTTAAGTGTTTAAAGATGTTTGACAAGTCATGATATACTTTGTATTCCTCACCTCAGCATGTGATGTCAGATAAGCATGATATACTTCTGTATTGTTATTTTCAGAATATGTGTGCAAGGTTAGATAAGCTGAGATAATGCCTGACCCCTGCTCTGACAGTTGAAAGAGGAAGTACTATGTAACCCATTTTTGCCTTATAAATAAAGCAACAAGCCTGTACTCGGTGTGTCTGTCTTCTCAGAGGCAGCCACCCGTGTACACGTACATTTGAAACTCTGAGTCGGTCTGCCAGTGTCTCATTTTCTCTCTTACTGTGCTTTTACAAATGTCAACCCCTGACATTTAATTGGTCCTTCGTAGCCGGATAACTGACTGTTATTTTTAACGTCCAGTTTTCCCACAGACGGTCTCCATCGGATCCTGACGTCGTGACGCCTGCGCTGGAAGAAAGCTGATCAGTAAAACGAAAAACCCGGACACGTGAATTCGATCTCCGGTCAGCGTGCGGCCTTCACGGCTCCAGGACCCGATGAGCACCGGATCCAAAAACGCAGCGCCACAGTAGAGGTGATTATGAAACACTGCATTCCATCAAGCGCTAAAATACGTTGATATTGAGATTTTCCTCTAAAATAGTGTGTAAACCTGGTGTGCGCCGACAGATCTCAATGTCCAAGAGGGACTCTTAGGAGACAACAGGCAAGAGCGAGATTCTAGAAATCGCTATTAAAAGTTCCGGTTGCTCACGGAGAAGCAGCTGTAACGGAACAAGTTCCGGTCGCTCTGGGAGTGGCTGTAACGGAACAGGTTGAAGGTGTTACATAAAAAATTACGGAAAATCTCAATAAAAATCATAGAAACGCGCTTTGTTTGTGTTGAAATAGAGGAGTGAGTTGTTTTTACGACCCAATACGCGGTCGAACCACTTCTCAAACTGTTTTCCTGTGTACACTCACGTATTGGTAAAGGTGGAAAAAAGGGTTGTGCTTCATCACGTAAAATCGATAACCGCTCTCTCAATTAGTGAGAGAGTAGAAGGCTGTTATCGAAAACCCATTCTCACTTTTTCATGCCAAAGAAGGTGTCACAGTTTTGACGTAATTAGTTCAAAATGGGTAACTCTAAAACTAAACTACAATTAAAAAATGCTTTTCTAAATGGTCTACTGCCCAAAATAAAAGCACATGTAGACAAACATTGGGTCACTCAAAATACAGGAACTTTGCCTGATGCCCTACAATACGCAGAACATGCAGTTAAAGTACAAAAGCAAAAAGAGAAAACAGAAGGAGTTTTCATGATTGACCCAGAGACAGGCTTTATAGCTTTCTCAGGACAGCAAAAACACACAGCAGGTTTTAAGCAAAGTAAGGGAAAGCAAAAAGCAGGACAAAGAAGAGATAGAAGAGATATGAGATGTTATAACTGTGGTAAAATCGGGCATTTTGCTCGAAACTGTAAAAGTGTAAGCCAAGAACAGGAAAGTGAAGATGACAGGCGCAGACGCCGTGATGAATGACTAGTACGAGAAAAGGGAAGTGAAACAAGTGAAGGGGAAATTTACAACATTGAACAACTACTGCTAGGATCAGAAGCAAAGCTAACCGTTATAGTGCATGTGAATGGTGTCCCGGTAAAATTCCTTTGTGACACAGGTGCTTGTAGAACTGTCTTAACTGTAGAAGTCCCAAATGTAACATTCTCAAAAAACACTATAATTGTGAAATCAGCCTCAGGACATGTGACAAAACAGCATCTAACCGATCCCCTTTTTATGTCACATAGAGATAGTGGCCGTGGCTGCAAAAAATCAGTGCATTTATGACCCATCATGCCCAGATTGTATGAAATAAATAAAAGGAAATCATTCATATGAAGACCTTTTCTATAAAAAAGAGAGATGCATAAGGTAGATTAAGGCTGTGTCATTGTTCAGCCAAGGAAAGTGTGTGAAAAGATAAATGTTTCCATCCTGGAGGGTGGGTGAGACTGCAGCTCACTCACGGTCCCTGATGGATACAAAATAAAATATAATAATC